GCAGGAGGAGAAGGACACATTGAAATGAGCTTCAGTCTCATACCTGTCCCAGGAATGAACATCTTGTTAAGAATGAACCGCCCGCCTACTGGAAGGTGTAGTTTTGCTGTCAGCTTTTTATGCTCTACACGTGTATTCCAAATTTCCCTGCTCCTCCGCCATCACGATGTTGAAAAAAGGCAAGGTAACCTATTGCTCTTTTGTAAAATGCGTCAAGTCTTTTCCCTGCGGTTACAGAGTTGAGCTTGGAGTTGCAAAGTATCAGTACCCAAATGTTAATGCAAGTGTCTTGGATATTAATCAACAAAACCAATCAGGCCCCAGGCACTGCTTGTGCAAGGAACTCGGAAATACAAGTAAAACAGGACATGGCCCTCAACAAGCTTGCAATCTCAAAAAAAGAAATAAATGTCTAGTCACTCATCACTTTTTCTGACTCCTGAAGATGAACAGGAGGACGCAGAGGAGGGGGAGGTGGGGGGGGGGGGGGGGCAAGGGGGGGGGAGTGGGGAGAATCAGCAGCAGCAGCAGCAGCAGCAGCTGGCAGAGAGGAAGCGGATAGCTGGTTAATCAGATTTGGGGTTTCGCCAGGTGACTCAAAGGGAGAGCAGGGCCAGGTGGCTCAGAGAGCTTGCAGGACAGTGGCTACACGGCTATGGGGCGGTAGCCTGAGCTCTAATCTCAGCAAGGAGAGAAGGAAATAAACAGTGAGAAAACACCCTTCTTTCTCCACCTCTAAGGGATCAGTATCTGTCGATAAATAGCTACCCAGGGATGCTTCTAAATCCCCGTCTCCCACCTGGTTCCAAGGATAACTAAACCTTTTGTTTTCAGTCATGACCAGCATCCAATTAGGCATCCCCAGAACATGCTAACATAGTGGGTTATAGCAGATTTTCTGAAAAGCTTCATGTCCCCAGAAAACTACCCCGCAATGTCCCCCCCAGCCTCTCCCCCTCCCTTCAGCAGGATCTGTTGAGGCCTAGGTCCCACCCTAACCCTAGGAAAGACAAAAAGTCTTTTCTACCATGAGATGCAATGCCATGCACACACAGGGCAGTCAAATGTCTTGGGTTCAAAGAAGACATTCTTTTCAAATAATTCGAAGCAGAGCAATAAGTCACAATTGTACCGTGTTTTTAAATAAGTTCTTCTAATTCATACATGATGCTCATAACCATAAAATGTTGCTATGTTTATAAAAAAAAAAATGTTTGTTGAGGAATGTACTGTATCTTACCAGCAATTCTTGTCTGAGAAACAGAACAGGGTTCCTGGATGCATTCCTTCAGTGTGCTAGGCACTTCTCTGCATAGCTACAGCATCAGGCCAAACAGAAAGAGAAGAACAGAATATAAATACAAATGATTCTATTTTCGAAAGAGGAAATGTTATTCTAAACGATAGCTCTGTTGCTTCTCGTCTCCCTCAATGCCTAAGCTTCTGTCTCCACCTTTACTGTCCAGTGCAGTCTTGCTCAAGCCCCCATTCCCTGACATTACTATCAAGAATGCAGTCCAGCCCTCAGCTGCCCTGGCTCTTTGCAACAATTATCACTGTCACTCCCCGCCCTTGAATTCTGTTAATATTCTGCCATCCTGACTTTACTCCTGCATCTCTGACTGATGTTCTAAGTGTCGTTCACCAGCTCATGTTCCTCAGCCCATCCATCAAATACCAACACTCTACGTGGTGAGTTTTTTGATCTTCTTACCCTTGACCCTCATCTCTCTCTGTGGGTCCTGGTTTCTAATGGTTTCATTTATCACATGCAGTTTTAAGAGGTTGAAGACTCCCAAAAACACATCTTTAGTTCAGCTCTGTCTGTCAACTGGATATTCAGAAATGTCCAAATCTAAATTCATCATCTGTCTCCCCTTCACAAAGCAGTCTACAATTTTCACGGATCTTTCCAGATCAGTTATCCTTATCTGGAGAGTGAGCTTTGCTTGCTCAGAAGAGTGACTGGATATCCTGATATTCTAAGGCTATCCATCCTTAGGATCACTCCATCCATCTCCATGGTACAGCTATAGTGATCTTTCAAAAGGTAACTTTCTCCTGCTTACAACCCATCAATAGCTGCCCACTGTCCTCAAGGTGGTGAGTTGTTCTCAAGATGGAGCTCAAATTCCTAGTGATGCATGGTGAGGCCTCTAGGATCTGGTCTCTGCAAGCATCTCTCATCCTTCCACTTCATATTGAGCTCCTTCCAGGACCCAAAGTCACTGTGCTCATTCTCTTCTCCTCCAGACCCTTTCACTTGCTGCTGCTTCTCCATGCAATGCCCCATCCCCCATTCTTCATCTGACCAATATTTATCCATCCTTTATAAATTAACTTGGATATGATCTCCTCCACAAAATCTTCCATGGTTAGCCCCCAAAGCCAGGTAGTTGCCCTACCTTTATGTCCCCATAGATACCCCTATGTTATAATTGCCTGTGTACTTGTCTCACCCACAATCAGCTCTTTGAGTTAGAGGTAGTGTCATAATCTTGGCTGTATGCCTAGTTTTCAAAATGGTGCCCGGCATAAAGCAAGGGTTCAGTAAAAACCGATTGTGTGAATGAATGCATGAGTGAATGAAATATCCCAGATTAGTATTTCCCAAAGTGTGTCGGTTGAAATTCTCTGCACAGTAAGCATTGCTTGGTCCTAGACATTCATAATTCACCTAAGTAGAGTGGAATCCCTGTGAAGTCCTGTGATAAAAAGAAGCATTGGCTTTGTCTAACAGAGTGCTCTCAATGTGACCAGGATCACCTGCTCGACACAACACCCCCTGACATCCTTTGTGTTAATATGTGTGCTCTGAGTGAATATGCACAAGCTGAGTCTGGCATGTTTGACATGGGGCCAACATGTTTGGAAAGCAGTGTAAGGGAGAGAGAAGAGCAGATAAGTCAGAGAGAAAACGCGAAGCCAGAAAATGAGGGGCCCAATAAGTCTCAGATAGGACATGAGCCTTTCCTCTGAGTGAGATGGAAAGCCATGAGTGGACTTTGCTCAGAGTTACTTGATCTGAATTATGCCTTAACAAATACTTTGGCTGCTTTGTTGAGAAGAGATTGATACAGGGCAAAGGAGGAAGCAGGGAGATCAGCGAGGAGGCCTTTGCAGTGATCAAGGCAAGAGATGATGGTGGCTTGAAACAAGTTAGTGGCAATGGGGGTAGTGAGAAGCAGACAAATTTATGAAATTTCGAACCTAAGAAAAGCTGAAAAAATTGTACAGGGAACACCCATGTGCCATCCAACATCTACAATTCTTAAAATTTTGCTATATTTGCTTTATCATGTATCTAGCCATCTAGCCATCCATCAACCCACCCATCAGATAGATACGTATGTTGACGGAGAAGCTGACGATGGTGACTCCAAGGTCTGTTGTTGTTGTTTTTTTAACTGAGATATAATTCACATACCATAAGACCGGCTCCAAGGTTTTCGGTCTAAACCATAATAAGAACATAATGATCAGTAACTGAGGTGGGAGAAGTACACTAAGGCTCAAGGGAGAGGTGGATACTAGAGGCTTGATTTTGTCTGTTAGTTTGAGATGCCTATTAGACATCCAAGGAGAGATGCTGAGCACACAGCTGTATATGCAAGTCTAGAGTACAGAGAGAGGTCCAGGCCACAGACAGAGATGTGTGAGTCATCAGCAACAGTGACTCATCAAGGCAGTAATTCTCAACCGGAGAGGCCAGATCAATAAAGCACCTGCATCATTAAATATAGGATGGTGGCCACCATTTTAAGAGGATCCAGAGAGTAGAAAATGACTGCTATAGGTTCCATCCAAACCAGGGACAGAGACATATCCATTCAATGTCCCAGACAGAGCTCACACTCTGCTATGGTATGTACCAGGCCAAAATACATAGAAATCTATGACTTTATCTGCCTTTAACTCTTTCAACTGCAAAAAAAGTAATGGCATGAGGCAAAGGACCTTATCTTAGTCATATGTGTAGCCACACGCCATGACACCCCACCTGGAACCTAGTAAATACATGCTTAATGAATAAAATCACTAAAAATAAATCTACGTATATGAAAAGTCATGTGCCACATCAGAAGTTATTTTAATGTCTTCATTTTCAGAGTATAATTATTGGCATTTTATTGCCTAAGTCTAATATATACTCATTATTTAATGTAGTATATAATGTATAACTCCCCTAGGCCAAAACACTCCATGTAAAATAAAAAGCATTCTTTGAAAACATATGCTTCTCTCTATGACAGGGGAAAAAAATAATAATTATAAACATTAGTAAGCATTAATAAAATGTGCCCATATTGGGTATACTTAAAAGACAAACAGTTATATAATCCTACTTGTTTGACAACAAAATCAATGAACATGAGAAAGGTGTCCCGTAATTCGTAATGCACACCTTATTCCATGTTGAATTTACAGTTCTTAAGCTTTCTGAAATTTTTTCTCTTTCGTGTAAACTCAGACTTTTATCTGAAAGCATTTCCAATTCAGTTCTATTCAGCCATTTGAGTTTTTCAGCTTGTACGTCCATCTCCTGGGTTAAGTCCTAAAGGATTTAGAAGAGAGGCGTGGTTAGAAGGTTGTCATACTGGGGAAAGTTGGAGAACTCTATCAGAAATCTCTTTGGGAAATATTCTTACAAATGTGAACTTTTAATTTCTTAAATGGAAAATAAACTTATAAGAAGCCTAAATTTATGTCAACAAACTGTAACTGATATGGGAATGGATACCGACCTTCAGTGTGCATTTATGAACACGTGTATAAATGTTCCCACACGCTTCTCCTTCCCCCCAATCTCTTAACATGATCATATTGTATCATATCTCTATTGATAACTTAACATTCTGTTCTTAGATAATGAAAAGGATATCTGTTCTAAAGAAAGGCAGAAAAAGAAACAACACGAGCATTTTATGCATCTCTCTCTCCCTTATCTCTATCTACCCTAAAATACTGTCCCACCCTTTGTGACTGCCACCAAATTGCTTACAAAAGGGATGTTCCAAGGAAATTACTGAAATTTTTAGATAAAACAAGAACAAGTTTGTTAGATATTTGTCACATTTTGGAAAGAAAACTTAATAATTGTTTGCCACATATTTTTCATCATTAAAGAAGTTTCTTTCCCAAAAGGCCTCAATCTTACTCCTTTAGACAAAATCTCTCATCAAATCAGTAGGTATCCTTTTAGGCATACTTTGATGCAGACATGTATGTGTATCCACACTCACATACAGGTTCTCTTTTTTTAATAAAAATGTGAGAACATTATTGTTCTGCAGGAAGTATTTTAATTCTCAACAAAAAAAAATATAAAATTTATGGATATAAAAATGCATGGATATTTGGGTATATTTACATGTCTATATATCACTATGTATTTTTATATATGTAAACATATGAAACTATAAACAATTCTTGTTGGTTGCACATCAACAAAGAAAATTCGATTGATACAATCATGTTGCTAAGCCTAGAGTAAGTTGCAGTGAGTTACTCTCAAGTTGCTTAGGGTTTTCTTGTAAAACTCAATTTTATATAGTAATCAGTGATTATCTTCTAAATCTAAAGGCAAAAAACTATACTTCACAGCAGTATTATATTCTAAAATGATGAAGTCTGTTTAAAATATCCTAAAAACCTTCAGTCTAATACTGAGACTACATGATTTATCACTTTTGTGTGAGTGAAGCTTTACCTCTGCAAGAACAAAATTATGGCTATTCTTTAAAAAAAAAAAAAAAAGATATTCCTCTTTAAAGTTTACCACATTTACCACAAAGTACAAAGTTTCTTCCCTTTTCTTCTTCAGTCATGCAATATCTTATTTTTCGCGTAAATGTTCATGCACCAAAAAGCACGGCAAATGTAGAGACAAATAAGCCACTTACTGTTAATTCTTGCAGATTTTCTTCCAGCTCGGTGGTTGATCTCTTTTGCACAGCATCCTCGGCCTTTGTTAACCAACAGATAATCTCATCCAGTCTTTTTCTATACTCCATCATCTGCCTACTTTCTCCTTTTAGTCTAAAAGAGTAGATTATTGAAAAATATTGAAAAAAATTATCCAATTAAGCAGAACATTATATATTTGCTTTGAATACCCTGACTAAACACTCTACACAAAAAAATTCCTAATAATTATTTTAATATGTATTTTCAAATGAATGTTAATAGTAATGTATATATTCTGCCATACCAGAGATTATCTGATAAAATAAGAATAAGAATTCTTCCTTCTTTTAAATTCAGATTAAATTCAAAAGCATTGAAACTAAAGAATGTTATCTTCCCTCATCATAAAAAATTACATAGAAATCTAATACAAAGGACTTTTTTTTAAAGCTAGATACTACTGTACAACATAATGGAAGTTAAAAAAAAAAACATGAAAAATGTCTTTATCTAAAATAATAAGGAAAAACACATAATTCTCTTTGAATCCATGGAAATAGAAAGGCATCATTATGTGACATTATTCACATTAGGTGGCAACTATTACTCTACTTTATTCATAGGAAAGAAAGAATAAGAACAAGGCAAGAGACAGACAATGGGAAATTTTTACAAGTATTAGGAAAGTCAAGAAAAAATGAAAATTTGGTGAGTTCATTAAAATAAGTATTATGTTTGAATAGAGCACCAAGTTATAAAAAGAGATCTAGAAAAATCAAAGCAAAAATTTCCAAGGATATCAGGAAACAAAGAGTCATATGAATATAAAAAAGGAACTGCCTTAATTAGATCTTTTAAATGTTATAAGAATAACATTTATAAATATATAAACCATCTGTCAGAAGATGAGAATATGATTAGAACTCATATGACAAACAAGATTATGTATTTTTAAGAAAGGGTTTGAAAGCTATTTACAGCTTGGTGGTGGTATCATTATTTTTATAGCTGCTGCTATTAGCTGCTGGTTTTAAAATAGAATGCAATTTTTTAATGAATTATATTGTGTCATCCTTACTAAGAATTTACATTTTTTATGGCTGTGACTTTTTCTTTTTAATCACAAAAAGACCTAACATAATGATTCAATATATATATACACATAAATGCTCAATAAATACTTATATATTTAATAGTCAAAAATATTTGAGGGAGAGTATTTAATGTTTAAGAAACTAATGAAAATCACCCCAAAATCACAAGTTTTTATTTTTATGTATCCATCAGGATAGAACTCTGCTTCAAGATTAAAAAAAATAAATCAAGCAACAGTACTACTTGTTAAGATGACCAACACCAAAACAGGTAATTTACCCTTTGTATCAAAGAGAATTTAACTTAAATAACAATTCTGGAAACACCTAAAATACTATTATAGACCTTGTGTTTCAAAAAAAAAACAATTGGAATTTAAATTACCAGTGTTTCACAATCATGACTAATTTAGTATTTAGAAAATAGATCTATGAGGGAAACTAACATTATCAAGTAATTTCAATAAGACATGTGAGTGACACAAAATTTTCATCTGCAAACTAAATATAATCTACATTTTAAATGTTATCCCTAGGCGTAAAAACAAGTTATAAATTCATGTTCAAACAGTTGATAACAACTGCTCATTAAGGAATAACACCATAAGTTACTGAATTGTGCAAATATTTAACTACAGGTGCTCAATCCAGAAACAAATTGAACTGTGGGCTATCTCTCAATGACTCTAATAACAGTACACACATAAGGTCTTAAGGTTGCAAGGTGGCCCCAATTTAAGATAAGTTACAACCTGAAGTGAAGTTAAAAAAAAACAGGAATTTATGAAAATAAATATTGCTTTAGTTAAAATACAAGATGTTGGAGAAGAAATTCATATTCTTTTCTCTTCTGAAAAATGAGTACAGTATGTATTGGCTTCACCTTGTTAGGTCTTGGAGCAATAATTACCATACTCCACAGAGATCCATCTGACAATCTTTAGGGGACTCCCTGCATTTATTGCTAACACCATGCCAGCAGGTACATCTTTTTCCTTAAGAAGACCTGGGAGATAGATCATTTTCAAGCTAGAAGGACTCTCCTTGCAAACTCATTAGCATGCATGCAAGATCCTACGGGACACAGCTTCCAGCCCTGCCCTGGACCCTTGAACCTTCATCTCCATCTAACCTTTGTAGATCTCTCGCCTCCCACACTATTTCATGCCTCCCACCTTTGTCTGTTCTACTTCTTTTCCCCAGAAGACCCTCCCTAGAAAGAATTTATGGGAAATTGCTATAAATGCTTCAAAACTCAGCTTCAGGATCCCCCCCACTGGTATGCCTAAATACCATGACCCATCACCCCACCTCTGTGTCTTCTTAACAATGTGTTCTTTAATCATGCCATATCATTTTTTCCTTTAAATATTTTCTTCTTAGTCTCTGAGTTCCTTAGTCATATTTGTATCCCCAGGGATAAACACAAGCCTCAATAAATAGTGGTCAAATCAATCAACCAATCATTGGAAAAATTCAACAATAACATGCTTGGAGAATAAGTTCCAGGTCAACTTACTATTATGAAGAAATAGATATTTTGAGTGTTTACTACAAATAGGGCATATGCTTTTACAAACGCTGTCTCATTTAATCCTCATGACAACTCCTCTGAAAAGATGTCACAGTTCTTATTTGCAGAGAAGAAAACTTGGCCAGAGAGCTCCGTGGGCTTCCCAAGTTTGACACCACAGGATTGGAGGGCATAAGATAGACCATCGCTAAGTTTCTATGAGACCCTGGACAAGTTACTGAACCCCTTCTCTCTGAGCCTCAGTTTCCAAAGATGTACAATGGGCCCCTCAGAGGGTATGGCTGTGAGGATTAAATGAGCCAAAGTGTGCCAGGTGCCAAACCCTGTCTCTGCCATGTGGCAATCTCTCAACCAAAACACACAAACGATTACTTGCCTCTTACCAAAACACACGAAATAAGAGATGATGTTATTTTACAAAAAGCAGCCATAGGCCAATTATTCATACTTGAATATTTTATGTTATACTATAATATGAGACTTGAAAAAGTATTAGATTGGCCTTTAACAAAACAACAGCTTATCTCTAAAGCAATACATCAACTACGGAGTTAAAATTAGCAGAAAAAAAAAATATCTAGGACTTTTTAATCCCAAACTATCATTATGCAAAAAAAAGGTTATTAACGAGATGGAATGTATTAAGCAAAGCAGAAATCATCCATTAAGTATTGACCATCTCAAAAAAATAACTTCAAATAGTTTTAAAGTGATATGTAAAATAATATGTATAATGTTGAGTATTATATTCACTGGTAAATATGTTTGCAACCAGAAGACACCCTAATAAAATCTGGGGCACTGTACCATAATTTGACACAAAAACCAACCATAATACATTATATTTACTGTATTACATAGAAGAAGAAAGTACTGACATATATGGGTATAGCACACCCTTTGACACTAAAAACCACCAAGTGAGAGGGATTACCAATGAAGACCCCCGAGGCCCAATCAGGAAATGAGCCAGAGGCCTGACCCTGAACCAGATCTTCACATCGGAAGTCCAGAGTGTTCTTTCAACTACCTCAAGTTCAGGCCACAGTCACCACATCATAATAAACAGTCAGAAATAAGAGAAATAAAGGCATTTTTTCAAATATATGATATCTGAGTAGAAAAGTGAGACTTTATGGACAGCCTAAAAATATAGTAAGAGACAGTGTTCTAAAAATACAGGACATGGACGGTGGAGGTCTTAAATGTCAGTAAAACTCCTATTGTGACAGCAGACAATAAAAGAACTTTGAACTCATCTGATCATATCTTAAAAGGCTCTGCCCCAACTATCTTCACGCCTATGCACTCAAGTTATCGTGGCTAGATCACCTTGGCCGCCGATCCTTCACTTCTGCAATGATCTCACTCCAGCGCTGGTTTAAATCCGCCAGCCTGTCTTTCAAGAAGCTTCCATCCGTGGGGGAGAGTTTCTGTACAAACCCATCCCCAGTTCTGTTTAGTGCTACAAATCTGGGCTGGTGGCTACTGATCCCCTCTTCTAGTTCCTGTCACAGAGAAGAACCCAAGATTAATTCTACCACCAAATGAAACTGTTCTGATGCAACGAACCCACCCGGGCTCTGCGGAGTCAATTTAAGTGTCAGAGAAACCAAGTCCTGGAAGAATATTTTATACTCATGAAAAAGGCATTTTTAAACACTTTCATTACATTTCACTGAATACACTAAATGAAAACTCTTTTGAAATCTAACCCACTCTCATGAATGTCATCAAGCAAAATACAGTGAAACAGGACAGCCGAATAACAAAATAAATAACAGTTGTTTATATTGAAGCATAAGTATCAATCATGTTTGATTAAAGAGGATTGCTTATCTTCCAAACACGTGCCTGAAAGAATCTCTTAAAAAAAAAAACCCATATACCCCCATATACCCTTACATCCTACCATATATAAGTAAACCTCAACGTGCATTTTATTGAGACATTGCTTCACTGGTCTGCAAGTTTTTAAGCAATGGGTTAAAAGGATATTTTAAAGTCAAACTTAAGCACTTATCTATAACTCCAAAAATAAGAAAAATGCATTAACACGTTTATGAGAAAAATAAAAGCATTCTCTAACTCCTCGTGAACCCTCTCTATAAAACATATTTTAAAAACTTAATGGAAGAGGAAATATATTTGACAATGGTAAGTTGAAATTTTGTTTGCTTTCAACCATTAATTTTAAAGACCTACTGTTATCAACAGAACTGATTTAGCTATTGTGTTATATTTTCCCAAGACTGAGTTAGACTTACATAAGCAGCTGCCCTGATATAGCTCAAGAATAATTTACTTTTACGATAATTATCAATGATACAAAAAGAAATAAGACCCCTAAGTGTGTAAGTACAGAAAACAGAAAGGTACACATATACCTTTCTGTCCTCGATATAGTCTTGGGTACAAAACTTTACAAATGTTATTCTGAATATAAAATTTTAGAAAATAAAATTGATTTTCACATTAACCATTAAAGAGTATTTTTTATTTCAATTTCTTTAAAATCCTGATTAAAAATTGTAAATAACCAGTTTTTCTCAAATCTTTGAAACTGGAAACTAGAACAGAAACAAAAATTACAAATTGTCTATTATATGCCTGAAAAATTAATATAGTTAGCCCTTACTTCCAAAATCTGTCTTAAATGCCACAAACTAAATAAATATGCCACCTTTTTAGCAGATCCCCCATCCTCGGACAGAAGGCACTCACCTGCTGATGGATCCTGGCTTTCTCTAAGTCCAGGCCACCATCTGGAGCAAAGGTATCAGCCAGTAATTCCTTAGCTTCCCTTATCCATTGTGTGAAGTCATTAAGGTCACAATGGAACTGTCTCCATTCTTCCACAGATCTATCAAAATAACTAGAGGACAACAAACAAAATAAAACAGGTTTTCCAAACTTTCTAGGACTATCTAATAGATCACTGCTCTACAAGACCAGCTTTTGTAGTGGATTACAGTTAATAATTCCTCTTAGAGGGCCGGCCCGGTGGCTTAGCGGTTAAGTGCACGCGCTCCGCTGCTGGCGGCCCGGGTTCGGATCCCGGGCGTGCACCGACGCACCGCTTCTCTGGCCATGGTGAGGCCGTGTCCCACATACAGCAACTAGAAGGATGTGCAGCTATGACATACAACTATCCGCTGGGGCTTTGGGGGAAAAAATAAATAAATAAAATCTTTAAAAAAAAAAAATTAAAAAAAATAAAAAATAATTCCTCTTAGAGAAACATGCATCATTCCAAGAGCAAAGCAATCTGTACACAGCACCATCCTTGCCCCCTCTCACTCATACACACATGCACACACACACACACACACACATGCACGCACACTAGGCAGCTTTTTAACTGAAAAGGCAGTCTTCTCTGGCTTGGAAAATCAAGATGGATTAGCTGCAGGCATGTTCGCCCACCCAAATTGAAACACTTAACATTTCAAATACCATGAAATGTAAAATATGATTAATTACTCTATTCTCTTAGGGAAAAAATATGGTGTTTTACTTCTAGGGAACTTAGTTCTCAGCTAGAACAAAACCCAAAGGGTCAAAACACTTCGAAATTTCCTTGCACTCTATTATCTCTGTGTTATGGACTGAACTCTGTCTCCCCAAAATTCATAGGTTGAAGCTCTAACCCCCAATGTGATGGTATTTGGAGACAGGCCCTTTAGGGAGAGAATTAAGGTTAAATGAGGCCATATGGGTGGGGGCCTGACAGGACTGGTGACCTAATAAGAAAAGGAAGAGACACCAGAGATCTTGCTCGCTCTCAGCCTGAGTGAGCACAGAGGAAAGGCCATGTAAGGACACAGTGAGAAGGTGGCTGTCTGCAAGCTAGTAAGAGAGGCCTCACCAGACACTAATCCTGCTGGCACCTTGATCTTGGACTGCCAGCCTCCGGGACTGAGAGAAAATAAATACGTTGTTTACACTACTCTGTCTGCGGTCTTCTGTCATGGCAGCCCTAGCAGTCTCACACACTCTGTGTGATGACTGATCCTAAGTGTCCCTTTGACCTGAACACGGCACAGCATGGAAGTACCTGCAAACCCAGGTTAGCTGAAGAGACAGAGGACTATGGAGATTTCTCTTTAAACCTAACTCCTTTAGAAATGAGATGAAGTAAAACTCCAGTGCTTGTCACATTCAAAACACATAAAATAAGTATAAAAAGGAAAAGTTTTGTTGGATTAGAATCCTAAAGAATTTTCTTCTGCCTTTTTGCTTAGAATGGTGGCACTAGGAGATATTTAGAAGAGATCTCTGAGATTTTAATAATATTAATAAAATTTTATACCATAAATATAAACATTCTTTTTGTGTGTGTGTGTGAGGAAGATCAGCCCTGTGCTAACATCTGCCAATCTTCCTCTTTCTTTGCTGAGAAAGACTGGCCCTGGGCTAACATCCGTGCCCATGTTCCTCTACTTTATATGGGACACCACCACAGCATGGCTTGACAAGCGGTGCATCAGTGCATGCCCGGGATCCGAACCGATGAACCCCGGGCCACCGCAGCAGAGCGCGTGCATGTAACCGCTTGTGCCACCGGGCTGGCCCCAACGTTATTTATTTTAAAATAATAAAATGGTCCCTGACATCATTAACCCCTAAATATGTTTATATTTGTTTCTTCCATGAAAATTATTTTGCAAATTCAGTTAATATTGCTGACTGCCCACAGGAAAGCAACATTCTATTGAGAGCGACAAAAATAAGAGCAATTCAAACAAAACACCATGAGAAGATACTAAGACAATCTTCACTATCGTTTGTAAAAATGTGCAATAACTAAATAACAAACACAAATTCCACCTTCTGGACGCTGCAATAATGGATGGAAAAGCTGCTCCAAAAATCTCAAGACTTTGAGAATATAAATATAAAATTTAGTAAAGATCATTATCATAACAGAACATAAATTTCAAATTAATCTAAGCAGCATAGCTATGGATTAAATAGGAAAGATCTGTAAAAAAAAAGGAGATCACACTCAGGTAGGATTCGCGAAGCCACCACCTGCTCTCTGATGCAGCCAGCTCATGGCGGGCAGCGTGGAATCGTGAAGGGCTATGGACTTCAGAGAGAAAGAGACTCAAAGTCCAAGGCTCACCTCATCCTTGGTTTGGATTTGAACTAGAAACATATCAGTTTGCTATCTCTAATATTCCACCTGGCCTTGCTATCTTCCCCCACAAACTCATCTCACCACCTACGTTCTCTATCCCTGGCAATGGTACCATCGCCTACCTACGTCCCCAAGCCAAAGACTTGGGGGTTGGTTTTTTCTCCTCCTTCTTCCTTACTCCAATATCTCATCAATCACCACATTTTACTGATTCAGCCACTTAATTCTCAAATTTTCCCCTTAGTCTCCACTTCCCTACACAAGTTATCATCATGTGACAGGCACAGACTGGTCTCCTCGCTCTCAGTCCTGTCCTCTACAATCCATTCTACAATCAGCAAACTGTCTTTCCTTGTCAAAATACTGCAATGGCTCCTTATTGCTCTCAGAGTAAAATACAAACTGCTTAACATCATACACAAGGTCTTTCTGACATGGTACTTTTAGACCTTTCTAGTTTCATCTCTCTGCTATGAGTTCAAGTTCTACTGGGATATTTTCATTTCTTCAGAAGCATTGCACTCTCTCTTATCTATGACCTTATGCTATGTTGTGTTCTCTCTATTTCTTCACCTGGCTAACTTCACAATCTCCAAGAAGCCTTCCCAGATCCTTCAGGGTCCCTAACATAGCCTCCTGTACTGTCCCCATCACAGCACTGTTTAATAATTGCCTGTCTACTTTTTTCTACTATATACGTTTGGACCCTGAGATAGAAACTGTATCTATTGAGTGTATCTGTCTTATAATCCTTCACAACTACTCACATGTGGCTGCGTGTGCCTTGCATTAGTCGGCACTCAGTAGACAGTCATCAAACGGGTGGTGCATGCATAGAGGGATAGATAGGTGGGTGGATGGGTGAAGTCTTTCTACGATGAAATGGAATTTTTTAAACTTTTAAATGATGGAAAAAGAATGCCTCGACGATGGGAAAAAAAAGATGGAAAAAGAAAGCAAAACTACTTCCAGTAGAAGATAGCATTCTGAGTAAGAATCAGAAACTGGGACGGTAAAGAAAGCAAAGAAAATTGTAATCAACTTTGTATGAAATGAGTGAAGAAAACTTTTTTTGAGCAACATGTACGAGGGATGAGAAAGGCAGCCATCTGGAGAACACTGTGAAAAAGCTTCCAAGTTCAAGATGAGAAGCCTGCACTTTCTCCACACAGCAGCGAGAGCCACTAAAGTACATACAGAGGATAAACATCCGAGAAGACAGTCTTAAGAGAAAAGATACACAAGGATCCAAGCATCCAAGATAAGAAGGATGAAATACCTGGCCTAAAGAATGGAATGACGGGGCTGGCCCGGTTGTGCAGCAGTTAAGTGGGCGCACTCCGCTGAGGCCGCCTGGGGTTCACAGGTTCGGATCCCAGGCGCGCGCAGATGCACTGCTTGTCAAGCCATGCTGCGGCAGTGTCCCATATAAAGTGGAGAAAGATGGGCACGGATGTTAGCCCAGGGCCAATCTTCCTCAGCGAAAAAGAGGAGGATTGGCATCGGATGTTAGTTCAGGGCTGATCTTCCTCACCAAAAAAAAGGAATGAAATCTATCAGGTAAAAGGGAGCTCCATTATTTCTCTAAGATGATTCTAAAATTACTTTTTTGGGAAAATATGAAAGCTAATGCCAGGAACCACTGTAAAGTAGGCATAAGGGAGTTCTCAAAGAAAGAGGATCTGTTTTATTTTCACAGTATTTATCTTACTTTTACTATCTTGAAAAGTTTTATAGGCAAAACAGCACAGAGAACAGGTGTAGACAAGTGAACTGGGCGATCCCCCTGGTGGGATTCTGACTGATAACCAAAGCCATGAAATGAAAGCATAAGACATTGGCCATTGCCTTGGTGTTTTATGAAAAGAACAGAATAGAAAGGAGTTCTCACTTATTGCTTGTGAGAGGTGGATAAATAGGGAGGGGGAAAATCAACATGGATGGACCTTGAGGGTATAGTGCTAAGTGAAATAAGCCAGACAGAGAAAGACAAACACCACATGATTCCACTCATACGTGGAAGATAAACAAACACATAGATAAGGAGAACAGAGTGGTTACCGGAGGGGAAGGAGGTGGGAAGGATGTATGGTGATGGATAAAAAGTAGATTATTGGTGGTGAGCCCGACGCCGTCTATACAGAAACTAAAATATAATAATGTACATCTGAAATTTATGCAATGTTAGAAACCAATATGATCTCAATAAAATAATTTTTTTCAAAATAATAAAAAAATAAACATTTTAGGATAGGTTACCAAAGTTGGGAGAGAAAAAGAAGCAAAAATTAGGAATAAGGGTAAGAACATAATTAATGCATCCAAGCGCTGGGACACATAAAATAAGAGCGATAACACTTTAGAAAATGTAATCAAGTAAACAAAGCATACAAAATAATAAAATAAGAGATATGATAGAGGAGAATTTCTAACACAAGAGAATACAGTGCTGTGCTTAAAATTTTGAAAACTCCCATGGAAAAACTATTTTCAAAAGGTAACATTTTTATGATCAAGAAAAAGGCACGAATGTCTGTAATCAACATTACTAATCAACAAGGCTCTTGAAGTTCTGCCACATGAGCCAGATGTTTATATGCAAATAGGATACTTGAAAAAGTTATCATTATATACAAATGATGAGTCAGTATACAGAAAAAGGCCAAGAAAATCAATTTTATACACACACACACAGGGTGCAGAAAGCTACCATACACCAATTCTACAATAACAAACATCAAGAAAAGCACAAAACTACTGAATAATAGTCCTGGGGACAAAGGTGTAGACAAACCTTCAAAACTTTACGGAAGACACAGAAAAGAACCCAAATAACGAGTGGAAGGCCAGATTTCAAATAGATTATGTTTTCACGAATTGATTCAAATGACTGTAAAGGTTTACTGGCATAAAAAATAACAAAGAAGAATATGAATTTTCAATAAGAATAATTAGGGAAAATTTACTGTTAATTAGGGAAAATTTACTGTACTGGATGAAAAAAATGTGAAATGCTTTAAAATGAAAATGTTATGGTATCAGACTATAACTGATGGCACAATGAGGCAGAATTTGCAAAATTAAATAAATATGAGCTAGGAATGCATTTAAAATTATGATAAAGTAAATATCACCAACATTAGAGAAGAGCCGAATTATTCAACAAAAATTATTGAGAAAATTGGTTGTTCATTTAAGAAAAATAAAGCAAAATAGAATAGATTAGTGTTTCTTAACTCATGCTGCACAAAAAAATGAGCTGAAGAGCGTTTAAAAGAGTAGAGATCTATGGACCGTACTCTTGTTACTGAAGAGTCAGCGTATAGAACCACGGACCTGGACCCTTAACACAAAATATATATCAAAATAAAATTCAGATGGTTTAGTTATTGAATGTAAATTTTAAATCAAGTAAAATTGTTTTTAAAAATACATAAATATTTAACTAATCTCAGAATGAAAAGGTAATTTATATAAACAAAACGAATCACAAAGGAAAAGACTATAATTATATAAAATTAAAACTTGTATATGTCAAAAAAATTAACAAAATTAAAGGGTACATGAAAAGCTGTGAATAATTAAGCAATAAACAAAAAATATGAATGGTTAAAATCCTTAATATAGAAAAAAGCTTTCGCAAATTAATAAGTAAATAGTAATACCGAGATAGAAAATGAGCAAAGAACACGGTGTATCAATTGACAGAAGAAATATACCAAGGTGAAAAAACATATGTAAACTTATTCAGATCTCCCTGATAATCAAAGAAATGAAAATAAAATTAAGATGCAACCCATCACTATAAAATTAGCAAAGATCTAAAAAAAAAATGTTAACAAGGGTTTAGTAAGGACACTTGAACATCTACTGTTGGCAGGGGTATAATAACCAATTTCATGATGTAACCCAGAGTCTTAAGATGTTATTATTTTTTAACAAATTAGTCTTCATCTAATAATCAAGTTTGATTAAAGACTCAGAAATATGCATAAAGACGTATGTAAAAGGATATTCTCTAAATGTACAGAGAGATGATCTTAAAAATCTATGCAAAGGAATATAAGAAAAGGCCATTAAAAGACACCTTTTCAAGGATTGTTGATCACATGAAATAGGTAGGCTAAAAAAAAACAAAAAAAAGATGAAGAACTTGATGTCTACTTTTTGTGTGTATGCCCCTAAAGTTTTCCAATGTGTTTTGCTGAGTTAACTCTTCTCTTATATGGTAATTGATATTGGGCTATTTCACATCTTATTTGTCTTTACACTACATACACAGCTACTGGAAAAATCTTATCAGTTTTTATTTCTATCCATAAATAGGCCTGGTCAAAATCTAGATAGAAGAAGGCTCAAAATCTTTCTATTAAACAGAAGTTTATTAAAAAAAAAAAAAAAGAGTTTGTGGTTATATATGGATTCCAATTATCTGTAGCTGTCTCTGATCTTCACTCACATTAATCATCAAGTGTGCAGAGAAAGGGAGCATTAATGAAAATCCTTTTTAAGTTTTTTAAAGAAAATGGACACTATTTAGATATTAAAAATTAAAGATGCTTCCTTTAATTATTAAGAATTATGTTGCAAATGGTCATCTATACGAGATCTGATTCCTCTTTCTTTAAGGAACTACACTCATCACAATTTATTAAACCGAGCCTATTACAAAGACAAGAAACATATTCTCATTAACCCTAATGTACATATGACCTTCCTCATGGCCCATGAACTTACAGGCCTTTTTATAAAAAAAGTTAAATATTAATTTAATTTATACATACCCTTTACGATCATTGTACATTCTATTAATTCTGTCCCATTTTGCATTCAATTGAGTAAGTGTATCCCGGATCTGAATGGCTTCAGGTCCAGAAGCTTCAAGAATAACATCTGGCTGTTTTTCATGAATGATTGCAATCTGCTCTCCAAGCTTGTCCAGTTGATCTTTGATATTCTACAAATATATTGTCATACATTAACAAAATCCAGCAAGGAGATAAAAAGAATGGAATCACAGAAGACCAAAAATTTATATTGTACAACACATTTAAAATATAATGAGACATAACAACCGTTGCTCAACAAAACTGGCAACTTTTTAGAAAAATAATACCCTGTATCGGCCAAGGCGTGAGAAACACTATATAATATCCTAACGGCAGAAAAGTAAATCCTCACAGATGTTCAAAGTGGCATTTGTACAGGACATATAAAAAGTTTCAATAACATTCTGGAAAGGCAATGAAGTGTTTGATGCTGGAATTATTTATATTTTCAAATATCTAATAATGCTAATTTAAATGACAGAAATGAACTATTAAACCTATCAAATCTATCAGCAATTTCATTGTGACTTTATACATAAGTGCAATCAAATTACGTGAAAAAGCTTTCATGGTATTTAATAGTTTTGGGAATTAACTAAAAACTTCCAGATCCCTAATTAACGTACAATCAACGTGCTATTATTCCATATCCCAACAACTGGCCAATCTTAAATCTTTATAGATGACAAGATAAATGCCGACATTTGTTTATAAGACATTTGACAATCAAGTTTATAATAAAAGAACATGGTTCATGCATGTGTTTGATTTTAAGAAGTCTATGATGTTGCAAAGAATTAATAACTGTGCAAACTTAAAAGTCCATACCTACTTTTAAAAAATTAAAGTTTTTGATAATATTTCATTGGTGAATATAGGAAAGGTTTATTATGCATGCACATTATTAATTCCATGGAACAAATTTAAAAAGTTATAGACCATCTAAGGAGGCACAATGACAAATTCCTTGCTTTATTTTTACATTAACTGCAGCTGTTCAAACGTGTGCCTGGAGACTTACCTTCAGAGAATCTTCCTGAAAAGAGAAGTCTTCATAGACAACAGTGCTCAGCTCTGGAGTATTAAGTGATAACTCAGCATCATCCATGGAAAGTACAACTTTGTTAATTTCAACCAGATAATCTGTGGGGAGAGGTGATGACCAAATTCCAGAAGCAAGTTGACTTGTTTTCCTCTGTTGAACAGGGACTGCCTGTAAAAACATTAATAATAATAACGCACATCTCTTAAAATATCCCCACAACGAATATTAGCAAATTGAAAAAAAAAACAAGATTATTTTGTGAAAGAATTCAATACCATGAGCCAAAATCAAAAAATTAAGCTTTAATTTTTTAAATTTTTGCCCTGCATTGCTATAGAGACCCTTCACAATCTCTATTCTTTCACCTGTAGCCTGTTGTTAAACAGCATAAAGAAGTTAATGCTTAAAAGGTTTTTCTTTAAGACCTATGCCACCTAAACTCATTTTGCAAACAGGAAAACATAACAACTCCTTTCCCGAGTTGTTGAGGAAATAAGAATATGCTGTAAATCATAAAGTTCTGTATGAAGTAAAACATTTTAATACCATTATTATTTCACCCATTTTTTAAGTCTCACAATTAGATTAAACACTTTTGGGCCTCACCACTGAAAATATAAATAAGTGAAACAAGTATTTGTAATATAACATAAGAAATTTGTGGGAGATCAGAATTGGCCACCTCAAAATATGTCTCTTTATCTTGATCATTTCCTCTGAAAGAAACTTTGACCCCCCCCAACTGCTTAAAAGAATTTAACTGTAGACATGGATAAACTGGGAGGGTCCTTGCTAAGCCCATTCCAAGTACTCTTTTTTGTGCGTGTGTGTGAAGAAGATCAGCCCTGAGCTAACATCCAGGCCAATCCTCCTCTTTTTGCTGACCCTGGACTGGCCCTGGGCTAACATCTTTGCCCATCTTCCTCCACTTTATATGGGATGCCACCACAGCATGGCCGGACAAGCGGTGCATCGGTGCGCGCCCGGGATCCAAACCCAGGCCGCCAGCAGCAGAGCACGGGCACTTAACTGCTACGCCACAGGGCCAGTCCAGCCCACTCCAAGTAAAAGTAGAAGTTACCCTTTGTAAGAGACATTTACATTTGTAATGGAAATCTCCATTTGTAAAGGTATCTCCCGCCCATTACTGGGAAGAGGGGGGGATGACCTCATCCCTAGAAAATTATCAATGTGGAAGGCGAGGCTGCATAATAACCTTACTGTGCTTTTCTGGTAATCTCCCATAACTGACTCCCCCCACCCCCAACATCCTCCTTTGTCTT